GTTACGTCCTCTTTTCTTACCTGACAGTGGCTCTCTGGGTTTGACCTCCTCCATCACCTCCTCCTTCACCGGCTGCTCCTCGGGTCCCTGGGACGAGTGGTCATTCATGGACTCCCTCTTTAGCTTCCCCAGGCCAACCATCTTCATGAAGGACAGACGACGGCTGGTGGAGTCGCACTCGCTCTCCGAACAGTTCAGCTCGCCATTGGTGAAAGTCTCCTTACGGGAGCCGAGGGTGTCGCGATATTTCCCCGCAAACCTGGTGAGGACATGAGAGAAGTGAAATGTCATCATATTTTATCTTAACTTCCCCTCGTCCTTCTTTACTTATTATGATCCCACTTTACTTAAACAAGCTACCTGTGTCTCACCAACCTCCCTCCAACCGTACCTTGTCCCTGTTTACCTCGACAAACCCTCATCATACCTCTGTACCTTCATACACTCTTGATAAAGTCCCATCATCCCTCTTTAACTCCACAAAATCCTCTTATCCCGTCCCGCAGAGTACACAAAGTACCCTGGTCCATGTAAACATCAACAAGCCTCAATCATCTTCCACAAACTCCTTTAAATGCTCTTACCTTTATTTCGCCTTAACTAGACAGATTTTATTCATCTTTACCTCAACAAACTTCCTTCAGAGCTCCTCCTCCCCCTCTTCTTCTTCTCTGCAGGTGAAGGGGTTCCTTGCAGCGACCCCTGTGGGGAGGGTGTTTCGCTTCCTTTGCTCCTCCCCGATAATCTCAGATTCTTCCCCAGCTTTCCCAGAGTCTTCAGCGGGGACTTGAACTTAAATCCCTTCCCCGAACCTCCGCCTCCACCTCCGCTTCCCTTCTTCCCCTCGTTGGCCTCGTTCTCGTCTTCCTCATCCTCGAACGGGTTGCGGTCCCTCGGCCCGTCCCCATCGAGGAGCGAGCTGCCGGGTGACCAGTGGTTGCCATGGCCACCGTTGCCGTGGATGCTGTCATCATCGTTGTCGTCGAAGGGGTTGTGATGGTGGTGGTGGGGGGTGATGTTGAGGCTCATCCTGCGCAAGATCAAAGCGTTCTCTAGAGTCGGACCGCCGCCTTTCAGGCGCACTGGGAGGTTTTTGAGGATGGGCATGATGGAGCTGGGGGAGGGGGGACAGGGAGGGAAGAACCTGGGGAGAGAAATCAATCAATCAATTGAATTAATGAGCTGAAACTCACTTAAACCAGAAATTTTACTGGAGACGAGACTGTTCCTATTGGACAGGCTGATGATATATAAGAATATGTCAAGATTCAAAAGGTGAGATAGAAACTGAATAGTAATATTGTTTTTAAACAGCGGAGGGCGCCACTACTTATTATTACTGCTACGACTTCGCTTCTCCGACATCCTACGTCACTCGCGTTTTGACAAAGTTTACAAAGAAAAAGAAATAGACTTTATTTTATACAGTTAATACCTCAGAATTACTGACGAATAAACAAATCTAATAATTTAATTTGTCTTCAATCTTATTTTGTAAAAAAAACAATCAAATCATGACTCTGGTATCGTGAATTGAATCAAATCTTGAGTTGAGTGCATCGTTATGAAACAGAGACATCACGGATCCACAAATAAAAGTTAACATTAAATTTATTAGATTGTGCTTACTGTTCCTGTAAAAAGCTGAAAATCACTTTATCATTAGTGAACAAGAACAAACTGACCGAAAGTAAACAAAACAAAAAATAAACAATCAGGATCTGATCAGAAAGACAACAAATAGGGGCGCCGTATAGGGGGGAAAAGTTAGGATAATTCCAAGGGCCCATGACTGACAAGGGCCCCAAAAAATAGGTAAAAACTAATATAAAAACTAATGTAAATGATGGAAAACCATCATCATTCAGTTATGTTATTTCCAAAATATAATAATAAATTCCAATGATCCATCTTTTTGTTTTTTACTGGGGTTTTTTGGCAGTAATTAAATTGTATTCCCAATTGACCAAAAAAGTTAAACATCCATATTGACCGACACCTGTTATTCTGGCATGAATGGGTTTTGGGTCCTGCCCCCTTAGCCGCACAGTGACGGTGTTTTTAGTTGCAAGTCCAGTAGATGCGCATGGCGGCCAAGAAACTACAAGTGATCAGTGTTTAACTAAGTAAATCAAAAATCCTAAGGTTTTTAAAAAAAAGGAAAGAAGAAAAAAGAGAAGAAGGAAAGACCCAAAGGAAAGGGAATGTTCAATGTGTAAACCCAGTTTTTCCCCACACCAAGAAAAAGGTGGTGGTAGCCTATAAGGTCTGTGAGTGCTGTTAACCTGTTTGGGCCTTTAATGACTAGTGTTTAGGCACTACCATTTTTAATCCACCCAATTTTAATCGTTCAGGGACGAAACGTTCAGCAAGGATATCCAAAATTAAATCATTTGCCCGCCCCCTTATTTAGCCAGACGTTACAACAGAAATGAAGTCAAGCAGCAGCCCAGGTCTCCATCACTGTACCCTCCTGTCCCCCAAGTGGGAAAAGGTTTTAGCATCATGGTTGTTCCAACTGAATGGCCGTTAGGTTATTCTTTGTTGCCCATGTATGGTGCAAGCTTAAGTTCCAAAAAATCTGCTGGTTTCAATTGTTTAAGAGGATGATGTTAATTTATTGATTGAAAAAGTTAATATATATTTAAGTTTTTGTTCGTTTTTTTCTTTTTTTTTTAATTCTTTTCCATTAATAATTATAATAATATATTATAATTAATTTCCGTTTAAGATAATTTTCCATTTTTAAATTTTTTACAATAAAAATTACATTGAGGACTGTAAGAACAGGCCCTTTTTAGCGACATTTTTATGGTTGCTTTTAAATCCTTTGCCATCAGATAGTGAACCTGCATACCTTGTATGCAGAACCTTGCAATCCATGTAACCAAAATCAACCAGCATAAATATTGTGCTAGTACTAGTATTGAACTTAACAAGAAGCAAGAACAGGTTGCCCAATCCTTTAATTAGAGTTAATGTAAAAGTTTATTGAAAATGGGGGACAGTTAGGGTTTCCCCTTGAGATGTGCTGGAACAAACAGCCCTGCGCAGGGAGGGGGGGCCCAATTCGATGTTTGTCATGGGGCCCCAAAATTCTGCGGCCCTTGAAAACCACAAAACCAACCACGGACCTTTTGTTTTTTTTTACTTTTTTATTTTTATTCACCTTAAATACTTTGGAAGTTTCACATTTAA